CAAACCATAAAAGAAGTTCGGAGTGTTCACTAACTAGTTCTCTTTCTTTTCCATCACCATCACTACAAATGGCATCGATTCAAATTCGACTTCAAAACAACAACAACAACAGAGAGTTATTCAACCAAGAAATCAATAATTAAACATTGAGTATTCTTTATTACTTATTATATATTATTATTTAGTATGATTTATTCATTTCTCAATATAGAGATATGAAATTTATTGTACAAATGAGAATAGAAATAGTCAATTATAAAAGATGATAATAATAATACTATACAATTTTTGACAATGATTACACATTTGAATATATAGAATATAATCATAAGACAATGAATGATAAAGAGATTATTTAATTAAAAGTATTATGTTGACAGAAAGTGAATTTAATATTTATGTGTAATTTCAAAGTTTATAGAAGATAATGTTATACATTTTAAAGAGAGGAATCTTAAAGTCATTAAGATCTAGAATGTATATATATATATATATATATATATATATATATATATATAGTTATTGATCTTCACTGATTGAAGTGTTAAGATGCAGAGAAGTGATAGAATGATTTAAGTGATTAGATGAAAAGTTTAGTGATGAGTTTATATTCACTAGAAGCGATCCAATCTACTAAATATGAGATTTTGGACAATTGATAAGATTAAGAGTATTTTTTGAGTGATTATTGAACTACGTTACTCTTTTATAAACTGTATTAAGTGAATAAAATATCTAGATCTAATTTCAAGAGAGAGATAGAAAAATCAATACAAAGTATATTGATCAGTACCAGTGGTTACGGTTTATGTTATAATGTGAAGGATAAACAAATATGATAAAGCGGACAACCTATTTTTCTAGATATTATTACTCGTATTTCGTTATAAGTAATAATGAACAGTTGATTTATTGTGTTTCCTTTTATTATTCTTAATCTCAAACTTTTGTCTGATTTACAAACTGTCACTGTATTTTATTCTGTACCCAAGTGATTGTAATTTAGTCATATGATTGGTACTTTAATTTTAGACTGTCAACGCCCTGCTTCGCGCTACATATTCTATTTTCTTATTGATCGTGTGTTTTGTGGCTATATTTTTAATAGTGTACGTTTGTAGGCTAAAAGACAATTCGGAAAACGATGTCGTCTTCCTTTGCCTTGCCAACTAGTCAGTTTTCGTGTAACAGATCATTAGTTAGAGATTAGGACAGTTCTACGCCTACAAGGCCAATTAGTCACAAATCAAACTAACATATCCACAGTCTCAAGTTCATACTACACAGCTTAGTACGTCGAAGTGGATAACTAGTCCTGAGACAAATATCATTACATGTTCAACCATAGGATCATTGGGCAAACCAAGGTCATAACATTTTAAAAAAGAAAATTCCTATATTTTAGATCATTCAAAAAGGGATTCAATAGCTAAGAAATTTTCACGAATGAAAATAAGAATTTTAAAAGTTTGAAAAATAATCTAGAACAACGAATCAAACGAATACTACGAGCTAAGATGGTGGCTGGAGGTAGTAAACAGAAAACCTTAAACCTAGGTTTCGTTCTACTTGGCACTCATCAGTAAGGTATACTGTAATCTGGAGAACTGATGCTCCTTAAAGGGTTCGATCCCGTGTCACCCAACTTCACAGTCAGAAACGTTACCACTGAGCTATTCAAGCCTCAACTGACACCCTGTAGGGTCGAATCCTATCAACCACGTTGCACTTTGGTCACTAGTGTAGGTAACTCGACATTGAGTGCACTATATTGAGATAAGATGGTGACAGGATTTCCTGTTGACTAACTCCAACCACCATCTTATCGCAACATAGTGCATCGAATGTTGAGTCACTTAAACTGGTGGCCACATTGCAACTTGGTCGGTAGGATTCGATCTGCACTAAGAAGTACATGACATTGATCACCACCCAGTGATTAATCAATTGTAGAATACTACAAGTTATTTAACAAAACAATTGTGGGCGACGTCGAAAATAAATAGAGAGTAAATAATATCTACATTATACAAAAATCTTTGAATAATCTTAATTTGGTTTTAATTGTTGATTCTATTGATATTATGTAATGTAAAAAACACTCAAAGTAGTTACAAGACGTTTTATTTCTAATTCAGATAGAATAAGATAAAATCGGTCTTTCATAAACACCCGGTAATTTCAATGAATATATACATCAACATAAACTGCTTTTACTGTTATTATTAAACATCCATTGAAAACCTTGAAGCGCTGGAGAGCTATTTCATAATAGTAATGAATTCCTCAGAGTTGCGCACTTAAGAACTCGCACACAAGAATCACACCCAGGATCTTCACTCTCGCGCACGAACTCTTAATCTCTAGACCATTGAGTAGTCATCCAGTGGTGTTAATATCTAACTTCAACCTATCCATGATATTGATCAACCATTGTCTTTAGTAGATATCTTCCTCAAACACGACGGGGTTGAACTCCACTTATCGTGCTTTTTCACTAGAACACCAGAATTACCGGTTAAAATTAGTCACATGTGAGCACATGATAATTATCTGTATAGGGGTTTGTGAAGAACAATGAATGTTATTTATACGAATATTCGTCAAGATTAGAACGAATAGTTTGACAGTAATTGAGCGCCGAGTATAGAGAAGTCATTATATGTGAAAATTATATTTGAAATATTCTCAGTGATTGAAATTAGTTAAATTTCAATCTCTGAGAATATTTCAAATATAATTTTCACATATAATGAATGTTATTGTTATCACTAACCGATCAATATTAAACATCTACTAAAAGCTGCTCGATATTAAGCTCAATGATTTAGATGCCGAGTGATCTCATGAAGAATCAAAGGTCTTAGGGCTCGATCTCCTGCGATGAGTTCGTGAGTGAGCATTGCTGATTAGTCCTATACTAGGACGAAAAAGCTACCCAGTGATTTCTCGTGATATGAAAAATATCCAATAATCTCCACAAATCTCTATACTGCGAAACTAATTTCTCTCATTTACTTACAACTATGTAACCTTAAGCAACGTTAGTTAATCAACATTTTATTCACTTACGGGTAACAATACAAAATTTGTATTTAGTTTCCAGTTTCCTGCTGTTAGTTAGTTATTTCATTAATTTACAGTAAAAAAACATAGTACATCAGGATACACTATATTTTTAATCTAATCTCACCTAAGTCAAAATTACATTAAACTGACAAAATCGAAGTATCCATAGCTAGATATTTCACTGTTAATCACTAAATCTGAAAAGACTGTATCACTTTGACAATAGAGTTCAATAAATTCAGTCTCCAATCGACCCCGACAGATCTTTAAGGAAGATTTTGTAAATGTTAAATACACAACACATATTAACATTTTCATGCTTTATGTAAAAAGTGTTTAGAAAAATTTACAGTTTATTATTTCATTAACTTAACAACAATATTTCACTGATATTAATCATTGATCATAGAAAGGATCATCGAACACGTGACTTCGTGCTAAGTTATAGATGTAATATTACTAGCCCTTGTGTTATAACTTCTGCTAAAAAGAAACGATGATAGATTACTCATTATGATTGAAGCGTCCTTTTTATGAATTAGAAATTAAACACACTTCAGTTAAACATTACACATTTCAAGAAAACAAAACAAACAAACAAACAAAGTTCCATTTCCATTTGAGATCCCGGCTAATTTATTTTAAAATTAAAAAGTTAATTTTCAACGAACACAACATTAGAGTACCACATAATAATATGTAAACAAATTCATTGTTTGTTTTTACTAAACTGTTAAAAGAGAAAACAACAGCTGACTTAAGATCTTCAGCAATTTAAAGTGATTATTATGAGAATAAGTGCCAAGTGATTGTTTTAATGAATAGTTGAATAGAATCATCTGAAAGTGATCATTAATTTACACACCATTAAGCTATATGATAATATGAAATGAGTAAAATTCATACTGAAATATGGAAGAGAAATATTGAAAAGAACTATTGATATAGTATAGTACAATTGAATTAATGTCTAATTAAATTTAACATATTAAACTGTTCTTTATAAAAGGTAATATGAGATGCATCAAATTTTCAGTTTAGGGTTGTGGAGATTGTTGAATTTCATTAAAATCATGAACCGATCAGTGTTAGAATACCATTTAAAACTTCCAATCACTGGATGACCGGTTCTTCCTAGTATAAGACTCCTCAGTAATTCGCACCCACTATCCTACATGCAGCGTTCGAACCCAGAATCTTCAGTCTTGCGCGCAAACTCTTAAGCTTTAAACCATTGAGCCGGCATCCAACGGTATTAGTATTTAACTTCAACCAATCCACGATGCTCACTAGCTTGGAGAGCGAATTCTCAGAGTTCTGGTGAGAAGCCATGATCTGTGGAGTTCAGCTATGTTGGCTATGAAACCGTTATCCGCCGTAGGGAATGAATGAAAGTTTCGCAATATCGTAAATTGATCGAAGCTGGATATCAACACCGCTGTATTGTTATTCAACGGCTTAAAGGTTAAGCATTTACGTGTAGGTCAAAGGTCCTAAGTTCGATCCCTGACGATGGGATTGTGGATACGCATTGTTGCAGAGTCCCATACTAGGATGAAATGTCCAAAATCAATCAAACGAGTATACCTTCTAAATGTGTACTGCAAAAATAAAGGTGATATTCTAAAGAATAGGAAAGTAATATGAAAACTGGTAAATCTGAATGAATTGCACAGTTTTTAAATAATCACGTCTGGTTATTAAAATATTTTCAGTACAAGATTATGAAACTCGTTGAATTTCACTGAAATCACGAACCGATCTAAGTTAGACAACCATTGAAAACCTGGAAGTAATGAACGTCTGTTCCGTCCCAGTATAGGACTCTTCAGCAGCGCACATTCACAATCCCGCACTCATGAATATTGTTACAAGGTATATAAATGTTCAGTCATTATTTTTAAATATAAAATGATTATTAAGTGACTTACTTTACTTTCATAATCTTTCAACTCCATAAGCTCTGATAAAATTTCAAAATAGAAAACCAACAATGGAACAGGTGATTTTACTCGACAGGTATCTGGTAAAGGAACGCATATGGCTGATAGATCATTAGTATCCTGTTTACTAGTCATATTGTTAGCATCAGTATTCATCGTTGAAATCTATCAAAAATATAATATAACACAGATTTCAAAATACTGTTAAACAAATTAATTGAAATTGATTGAACAGAGTTGAATCAGTTAAATTCGGTACAGAAGAATATCCAGGTCCATCGAGAAATAATTAATAGTTACCAACTAGTGACACACAATATTGTAATCCATTTGATAAGTCTCCTCTCAAAATAATTTATATTCTACATTATTCCAAATAATTTAAAATTATACATCTGTCCTTCACTTATAACATTACTTTCTGTATCCATCTGATTATATCTGGAAATTGGCATACAATCAATAATAATTTTCAGAATATATATTATTTGTTTATCTAATTATTTACTGAAATCTGTTTAACACCACTACACCGAAATCTATTAGGTGACTGGATCTTGAATTCTACTCACTTTCAATGATATCCTTGAAGTCATATAGTTATTATAGGTCGACGTCATTCTTATTTATTGACTGGAGAGAAAAGTGAATAACAGACTGCCGAGGGTGAGGAGAGTCAGCTCTTCCTCTCGAAATGATCTCACATTGCCACGCTTATATAGCAACTGTCAGGAAAGTCCTACTCACTGACTTCTCACGGTATTGCTATTGTTTGCGAAATTGAGAGGACGAAAAACGAATGCTCGGCACTTTAACCAGGTTGGTGGGTATGGAAGATCCACCTAAGGGAATTGGAAAACCGTGGTTCCAAACCAATGTTACACATGAGTTCGATGGTCCTGAAGGAACAAATGGAGTATGAACGAATTATTGGTCAAAGACTACCATGGGAGTGCATCTCCTGAAGTCGCTCCTGTAGGTCGAAGTTTTCCAGTGTGGCCCCCTAAGAAAACCACCTGCTTCAGTCTGAGCATTCTGGTAGTATCACAGCCCACACACAAATCAAGTGACTTGTGTGGGGCATATCTATTCGGTGCCCCTTTGTATCAATATTTATGTGTCTAGATAAATAAATAGATAACACACAAATAAAGACTTTGATCTAAAATCATAAATATTTCTTTATTTTAATTATTAATGATAGTTTATTGTGACCATTTAAACGATTTATATTCATAACAAGATAAGAATGATTAATATTGATAACAGTAGTATATTATGAAGTGTTTGTATAACAATGTCAATATAAACACAGTACATTTAATATGTATGTAAAGTGCATAGAACAAATAAATTTATCTATGCCACATGAGTAGGTTCTGATGTAAAAAAACCTATACCAGCAAACTATTCACTGAAGAACGAATAGAATATATGACTGATTTAACATGGTACATATACAGTTTCATTATAGAAATTAAAATAAAAATCTACATAACCTCCTACTCTAAGATGAGTACAATTTTAATGATAATCAACCGGTTTATATACAATAGATGGAATATGATTAGCAGAGAAATCCACGAAGCGCTTTTCATCCTATTTAGGATCCGTCGGCTGGATGTACGTGCCACATCCTAGAGTTGCTGTTTGCTCTGGGACCTATTGTTTACTTATTTAAACACATAAACAGTGGTACAAGGCAGTACCAAATATATATGCGTCACGCTTCATTATTCGATTTGTGTGAAGGCTGGCGCCCAAACCGAGGCTCTGGGACTCAAGCCCAGTCGGGTTGATGAGTCCCAAAGATGTCAAGACGCGATTCACAGACTTCACTGCTAGCTATAATCCATGTAGTCTATGTCTATGGCTATACCGAAGCAATCTGCACAAGATGTACATATCCCAACGACAACTGATCGAATTTCAGTCAAAACATTAACAACTAGACAATTCAAACTACAATAAAATAAATTAACTTGTCTAGATTTCCTTAACATCCCTTCAATGTACATAATGTACACATTTCAAACAATTTGGATTTAGTGTCATAAATTATGCTCTACTTCACTGGCGGAAGATCTCTTGTGAAAATAGTATATCCAATGTTCACATTATCCAATCTATATCATTCTCCAAAGCCACAACTACTACAATCATCATCAAAAAATACAGGTATTTATACACAATTATCTATGCAAGATACTTTAGGTCCGTTGGCCGAATACCATAAGCAATAACCGACTGTGGGAAGGAAAAACCCAGCTTCCAGCTTAAAAGGAAATTAGGGAAACGCGTTGGAGATAGACAGGACATACATTGTGGAAATAACCGAACTGCATCACGAGGTAAATTCTAACTTGGAATCCTCAATGTAAAATGCAAAAATGAGGACCAAATAACACAATGAACTGGAAATTGGAGAAAGACCTAAAGGGAGTGAACAGCACTTGAGAAAAACTAGCAAGAAGAGTCCAGGACAGTGTTGGTTGATGAATCTTGGTCTACAGTTTTCGATTCACAAACGGCAAAACAGTAAGTGAATTCATAAGTTCTCTAAAGACCCCCATTAGGTGATTGAAATGTGGGGCATAGTATTCCCCAAGTTTCTGTACAGTAGTCAAAAATGGGCAAACTGTGGAACAACTGGTCAAAAGGAGGGAATCGGAAACTCAGTGAGCCCCCATTACTTTTTAATTGTCGTGTTTCGAAAAGAATAGGTAGTGTTCATACTATGGCAAAAGTTAATTCTAAATCTTTACACAATATGTATCTATTAATATTAACAATCAAGTTATCTCATAGCGGTTGGTTTTACTGGATCTTAATACTACTTTAATTACTCATAAAACTAAATTCGAGAAGACAGATCTGTATTTTAGAAAGGAAAGGAAAAACATTGGCACAATCCGAAATCTTTTCAATGATAAGTGCATGTGATTGGCCAAGAAATAGCTTTCATTTCCAAGGGATGAGACGTACGCCATTGATGGTTTAATGTTCTAAGGGCATATACGCTGACTCGGTTTAGTCAAGAAAATTCCTTTGTCATTCTTAGTCTTTTAACTTGAGTAGCTAGTTTCGTTGGTGTATCGGAAGATTGTGTATCAATATCAACTTTTCCAACATAGCATTCACCAATATCGAAATTTACAAATTGTCTGGTTACACAGCAAGACCATAATTCATAGACGAACCAATCAGATATAAGATAACGAGCCTTGGATTTCGGTGCGAAATGCAATCATCCAGTTGGCTAAATAGCGTTTTGGCATTACAGTTGATGTCAGTTCGTGATGAAAACTTTAAATCTAATTCTTAACCCTAACCATTAACTGTAAATCATAATTCTCATTCCACACACTGGTTTATAACACTCATGTAGTCGTAGTTAGTAGGTGGACATTCTCTTGGTCATTTTAGCATCGCTCAAATGTCGTCCATAAATTATAGTCTCACTCCAGTAAGTTGCACATTAAAGTCCCCCTTCATTTACATCATTTAAAGCAACCAATTATCTTTACTTATCTTGAACTAAAAGCGTAGGTCAAAAAAAACTGATCTAGTACTTTTACTTTCTGTACCCTCTTTTAAATAAAGATGAAACGTTTCCTTGAAATGGCCAAATTTATATGAATATTGTTCATATAACTATTGTGCTTTGTATGTTTTTACTGGGTCCAGTGCACAATAAACCGAGAGATACTTCTAATATGACTGAATCTAAACAGGTAATACTATCATATGAATGGCATTCATGAAATATTGAAATATATTGTGAAAAGATCTTGGTTACATGATGAAATTATCCTAACAATTATATAGTACTGTTTATTTAGTGAAAACCGTATTGAAATACGATTCTTACGTATATAAAAGAGGTTTAATTTTGTTAGTGAAATAATTTGACTTACTGAACAGAATATAATAAACGACATTGTGAATGAAACATGTCTTTTCTTAAACAAACTACATATAAGTCGTTGAAAAAAGGAATCAAGTTATTGTACTAATGAATATGAATAACTGGAAGCACTGAACGGCCGTTTCGTCCTAGTATAGGACTCCTCGGCAGTACGCATCCACGATCGCGCATCCCGTGGGACTCGAACCCAGGACCTACTGGTTCCGCGCGCGAGCACTTAACCACTAGACCACAGAGCTGGTATCCAACGGTGTTAATGTCTAACTTCAACCAATCCACGAAGTTGCGCCACCGTACACCATTGCCTTTAGTAAGCTGATATCTCACAACAGACCTGGTTGAACTCCGCTGGTAACGACTTCTCACTAGAACTCCAAGAAATGCCTCTTGAAGTCAGTCACTAGTGAGCAGTTGATTATTATCAGAATGGGTTTTGTGATTTTTAGAAATTTCACAGATTGAAATCATAAGTCAATTGAAGCTAGACCACTATGGAAAACCTGGAAGTGCGGGATCGTGGATGCGCACTGCTGAGGGGTCCCATACTAGGACGAAACGGCCGTCCAGTGCTTCCAGGTTTTCAATGGTGGTCTAGCTTCAATTGACTCATGATTTCAACCTGTAAAATTTCTAAAAATCTCCACAAAACCCATTCTGAATATGAATAAGTGAAGTTTGTTACAGGTGTTTATTATATTGACATGGCTCAGAATCGATCACAGTGGCGTCGATGTATACACTCTTTGTCTTCCTTTAAACTATGAGACTAAAATTATTTCATATCTTTCTTTTTACGAACTAATTCTTTCCTTCTGTGCTATATCTTTACATAAAATCTTTCCTTTACATATTACACCATTGAGTTAACTGCTTCTATGAGTCCGGTGCTCGTCTTGCTGTGCTAATGAGGTGTGGCAACTTCGACCGATGCATATATCTGCCTGGTCCTACGTTGTAACTGACTGACTGACTGGATTATATTGGAAGTGATCATATTAAAATGATGTATAGTTGTAACAGTATCAAAAATCATTACATGTGACGTTACTGATGCGAGTCTGTTTTCTTATTGCAAGGCAGCAAAGAGTAAACGTACCGGAAGAAGAGGAACAAGCCCTAAGCTGAAACTGCAGAACGATGGATAAAACTGTTTTTAATAAGTTATCCCATTTTGTACTCGAACCGCGTCTTTCAATTTTCAAAATCATTTGTTGTGCTAGTACGCCGTGTTCTTACTTCAGAAGCATTTACCGGTCCTGACTGTTGTGTTGTTGTTTTAGATCGCTCCTGCCTCCAAGTAAACGCTAATATTACGTGCTACATAGTCACAAATTTTATTTTGTGCTAAAATAATCCTATTTATTTAAACTAAATATTAAGCTTAAGAAAGCCGCATTTTACGGACGAATGACCTTGAAATCTTTCTTCACTAGACCAATCACGAAACAGAAGATAAATTTATGGTTTATTATGCTAAGACTGAAGATAAATGATGAATTTTCTGATCTTTGCATCATAGCTGATATCAGTTCACGATGACGACTTTAACCTTAACTGTTATTACTAAATTCCAACTCTAATTTCAAACCTTGCTTTGATACATACTTGGTGACCAAGATGCAGTTTCCACATTCACCATTGACTTGGTTGTATAGTACAACATCACTGTTAAACTTTATACTACTGAGTCAAAACAAACATATAGGGATAAATAGAGTTGTAACTTACCATTGAATACATCTAAATTTTAATAGTCGAGTGAGAATTCAAAAACTTGTGCACCTATTAAGTTTTGGATAGATAAGTTTCATGCCAACCCTTTGACTAATGGTTCTATGTCATTGTCTAATGTATAAACCTATTTACAACTGTGTAATTCTTTAATTTTCATTACATAGTGATAAGCATACCCACCAAGTGGTTTATATGCTTAGCTGGACCACGGTTTGATAAAAAACAAACCTGTTATTTATGAACTTTTAATTCAATTGACGTAATGAAAAATCAATTGTCTCATATGTTAGAAACAATTTTTAAAGCTACAGAATTCATTAACATTGCTGACAAATTTTCCGACTATAATTAAGATATCCACAGAAAGATATACTATTACATGTGATTAATGCTGTGTGTATTTATTAAATTCAACACAATATATAACCTTGTGCATAATAATCGATTTCTGATATCATTAATAACTTTAGTTTATTAATTTTTCTAACCAAATCTCTTGATACTGACGTCCTCATAACCTATACCCAATAAGCTTACCAGGATGTGTCTACATATATCAATGAGGACGGGAAGTAGAAACTGAACAACTTAAATTGTATGAAACAATAGCCATAGTATGGGGCTTGTGGAAATGGTTGAATGATATTGGATTCATGAAGCAATCTATGTTAAACAACCATTAAAAATCTGGGAGCACTGAACAGCTATTTTATCCTAGCATGGGACTCATCAGTAGTGTTCGTTATTGTTAGGTCCTTTTATGGACCAATACTAAACGTATATTCTTATCGTATAATTGTTAAATAACTAAACTATTCCTATTCATGTTCCCTTTATTATAAGCTTTATTTTGACCTATGAACCATTATTATACGTTTTACCATTCTTGAATTATAACCCGTCTATTAGTCAATGCCTCACACATTCACAGCCACATTTGGCCAAATTTTGTACAAATGTTATTTTCTATTTTATGCTACTTTGTGGTCTGTTTGATTGGTATATAAACTCAGTATGTTTGAAATATAAAGATTCATATTGCAGAGGCTGAGACTGGTGTCCTGAACTTAACTCGCCGGGCTAGGTGGAAAGCAAGACTAATCAGAACTGTAGGCTGCTCGCACGAGTTTTACGCGTCATTAGTCCGACCGATAATTCGCTGCTTCTGATTGACAGCTTTGAGCTATAACAGTTATGAACAAAAGTTTCGTTCTCGATCCTTGACAGAGAGAGCCGGATATTAAGACAAAACACTTTTCCAGTTCTCCCAGATTCTCAATGTGTTTTTCTAACTTCAATCGACTCAAGATTTCAAAAATCGTGACAATTATATTTTGTTATTAACATACATTACTTAAGTCATTCAAACAACATACCACATGTATTTGCTCTTTATGCTGTGTTGTTGGCAATCGGGATGATGGTAACATGAATTCATGATCACAAATATCTTCTTCATCTTCTTCATCATTATGTAATTCAGTTAAATCTTGTAAGATACATTTGCATAATTCATGAATATCATAATTACATAATGATTCATTATAATAATTATTATTACTATCTAAATTTAAAATGATTTGTGATAATAAATTTAATTCTCCAAGTAATTTATTTAATAAATTTGTTCGATTTTCATATTCTTCAGTTGGATTTGAAAATATAGAATAAGCTGTGAATGTTTTTGACATTGTTTGTTGTTTAACATCAATTAATAATGATTGACTATTGAATTGATCTGTTTCACTTATACTGATTGCTAAATCTGAATTCGTTGTATACAATGCTGATTGATCTGAACCACTTTGATTATGATTTACATTTGATATACTTTGAGATTTTTGACATTTAGATAAATAAAAAGGAGAAATAGTTTGTTTTGAGCATACAACTTCCAATTCTTCAAGCTGTAATAAATTGAATGAATTCAGTTATAATGAGTGAAAATGAACAAGATAAATATTATATATGATAAATATAAAAATGCAAATGTTTTGAATATATTAAAATTATGGAAAAAAAAACAAACAAGCTTGGATTGTATAAGTTAGCAACAAAACATGGAGAATCGATTAAACGTGGGCAGGTGAATTTCACGTGGGCTGTGTCCAATCACAGATAAAAAGTCAATGGCCTTGGCCACAATGTGACTAGCTATGAAATTGATAAATTAGAAAACAGTTTTCATCCGGTTTTGGATTGAAACTGGTGTGTGTCAATATTACATTGAAACTATAGTTAGTTTGTTAGTCTAAATATTGAGACAGCCAATTGGTCTATATTTCGACATGATAGGACAAATGGGAGATTTATACTATTTCCCAAAAGTATACGTGAATCTGATTGGACAATTTCGGTGGGCGTTGGGAAGACAGGTGAAGTCCCATCGACCAACAGAGTAGGAAAATGGATGGAAAATGTTACAAATAAATGTATTTTCATAGCTCGGATTTTTCGAAGTAAGCTATTGGATAAGAAACTTCTCAAATCTACCTGTGGTTGAGTTTATGAGTCACAAGGCGGAATTATGGAAAGTTGCCCGACGCATCACACAGTACTGTTAACTAGGTATCGATTGTAAATGAAAACTACCTACTTACAGAGGAGTCTTAAAATGAAACAAATTCACAAAGTTCAGTGGACTACATTAACTGTCTGAAAACATGTAGTTTATAATAAGAAAAATCTGTGAATTTAAAATAACTAAACCATTTCATACTGAAACTAGCAAGCGACTAAAGTTCACTATGTAAACAGGTTAATCATGTCAAGAGGAGATAGGGTTAAGGTACTGATATGTCTGTGAAAATTTAGGGTCTGTGAGATCCGACAGCAAAACAAGAGCAGTTGTATCTATAAATTCTCTTAGGCTGTTTATCCAGTACCAAGACACGCTAAATGTGAAGTAACAGCCGTGAGTAGCAATCAGTGACTATTAGTTCAGAAAACAGTTCACCAGCCAGACAACTAGTCATACAATTCAAATTTATCATTCACTCGTAAAACAATGTATACCAAAATTCTGACCACGAATCAATAGAATTAGGGGATTACAATATTTGCATAACTACTCTATAAGTGGAAGAGGACTGGGTGAAGGGTTCGTGATAAATTAACAATGATTTGAGAAAGATAAAACAAACGACAATTATTTCTGTATCAACCAAAATCTTAAAAGTAGGGAAATACAAGAGCATAATAGTCAAAGCATTTAGTAATTATACAACAAGGGTAAAAAACAATATCTTCACAAGTGACTGTTCCGAAATTTCAACTTAGCTTTGTATTTACATCAGCATTGCCTGTACTCTATATTGTTGAACCAATCAGGTTTAAGATGGTAGTTTTGAGTTTTCGTTGTGAATTTCAGAAAGCTCTGTCAATTGGCAATCATCTAATGAATAACTATGTAGAGGATACTTTATGAAAGAGCTTAGGGACTTTTGGAATAATCAGGGAGAGTTTGTTTTGTCAATAATGACAGTTTAAATGCAAGAACACACGGACTGCCTTTTTTTCTGTTGGTCAGTGTGTTATCAATGTAAATCAATAAACATCACTTGTTCCTAATTTGGTCGATCTTGTATCTCAAGTATTAGATCTTAATTATGTTTATAGTACTGACCAATTAATGAATTTGTAAAAACAACCTGGAAACAATAAAATATCATTTATTAAACTATTTAACATTTTCACAGAGAAACCACTTTGTACTTAGTGGTGACTTTCCATGATGAAAGCAAATATATTTTAAATGTGTATGTGTGTATTTAATTTTTAAAGTGTGTCAACGGTCAAATGACTGGCAATGTAACTAGACGCTCAAGATACAAAAAAAATATGGTGAATATGTATAAAATACTCAATGCCTTAGATACAAGCCAATTTTTGATGTACCAAGTTAGTAGATTGTAAATGAAGCTGAAATCTCATATTTATGGAATGTGATACTTAATTAGTAATTTTATTGACAAAATGCCATAAAATAAACAGTAAATCTTTTTTCTTCTGAATTTTGGTTTATAAAATATTGAAAACTGAGTCATTACTAACATTATAAGCAAAGATGGATAGTGGCTGGCAGTGGACTCCAGGACGCTCGTTTCCTCCTGTTTGGGACTCGTCAGCTGGATGTACCTGCATCCCACTCTGGGACTCAAACTCAGTACCGTTCGTCATTACTATTACTTAAACATAATTATTTGGTTATTTTCGATAGTTGAATTGTTTATGATGTGTCTAGAATAAAATAAGATCTAAATTAACCGGTCATAGTATTAGTGTAAATAGTTAACAGTAAATGACCTTTAGTTTCATCAGGGTTAGATAAGATAACATCTGAAAATGTAACTAGTAAGTTCCAATATGAACTCTCTCCAATACAAGGAAATTACTGCTCAAATTAATTTGGACTCCAAAACAGGGATCCTATATATACTGTTGAAGAGTCCCATACAAGAAAGAAATAGAAGTTCAATACTTCCAAGTTTCTAATAATTGTCTAACTTAAATCAATTCGTCTTTTCAATGAAATCTAAAAATCTCCATATTGATGATTTGAATCTATTATAGATCATTCCTAATTAACAATGAATAGATAACTAACATACACTCAATCTAACAAATGAATATGTATGGGATTTTTATAAGTCATGATAAATAATATTTATAATAAGTAGTACATCAGAATAAAAATCCTACATAGACACTGTATTTCACTCCTAAAGTTGGATTTTCATTTCAGACTTATCAGAAAATGATAACAAAGAATTTATTGACCTAAATTCTACCCATCAATCAATATATTTGGTACAAGTCATATTTTATAATAAAAAAAAACTTTCTGGCATAGATTACATTATTATTATTATTATTATTATTATTAAATTGTTATAATGTTCCATTTTTTAATTGATCGAATAAAAAATAGATCTTAAAGCCAAGACAAAAATAAATGTGAAACTAATGTGAATAAAGTGAGTTTGTTTGATCGGTAGAATTTTTATCAAGATAAGATTTTTACACAATGTAAATTTTCTATTACATACGTAGGTCATTTCATTTAGTTTATCATTCAGTTAGTTAGACATTGTCAACAAAGGATCTAGTAATGAAAATGTAATAATTCAAATTTTAGGTAAATACAACCAAAGAGAGAGGAGATGTGAATTAATGAAGAGGAATTAGATAGTGGTTGGGGGTAGTCAGTAGGAAACCCTGAACTTAGGCTTCGTGCTACTTGGTACTCGTCAGCAAGGTGTACCTGTAATCTTGAGGGAACGGGTGCTCCCTGACAAATTCGGTCCCGTGTCACCCAGTTTCACAGTCAGAGATGTTACCACTGAGCTATTCGGGCCGTAACCAACCTCCTGTAGGACTGAGATGTAATCACAATTGATTGATCACTGGGTGGTGATCAATCTCATGCTTGTCTAGTCCTTATTAGTGCAGATCGAATGCTATCGATCATGTTGCAATGTGGCCACCAGTCTAAGTGACTCGACACTGCGTGCACTATATATTGAGATTAGATGGTGGTTGGAGGTAGTCGACAGAAAACCCTGGACCCGGGTTTCGTGCTACTTGGTACTCGTCAGCAAGGTGTACCTGTAATCTTGAGGGATCTGGTGCTTCGTGATAAATTCGGTCCCTTGTCACCCAGCTCCACAGTCAGAGATGTTACCAATGAGCTATCCGAGCGGCAACCGACCTCCTGTAGGACTGAGACTAGTGGCCACATTGCAACTTGGTCGATAGCATTCGATCTGCACCAAGAAGGACTTGACACACATGACATTGATCACCACCCAGTGACCAACCAATTGTAAAGAGGAGTTAATTTAAACTGTAATGGAAATTTGAATATTGTTAGATATAGTTCGAAATGAACAGATAAGATTGAAGAATGAGATTTTATTTAAGGTTGAAAAATAATTAATATATGTGATTGATCCATTGAGATCAGTTTTGTGCATGTCACACATTGTATTCAATAAAGAAGTCTTCATTCTGTGATAGGGAGCAGATTTAATGAATTCCATTCATGTCTTGATCTTCTAGGTCATAGATTCTCCACAAACTACTTATAACTCACTCAGAATTAGACTTCGGTGAAGGTGTTATTTTATCTCTTAGACTTAATTAGAGATCCACATTTTTAAAATAACAGTACTGAATGTAATGTGTTTTAATAGCATATTCCGAATTTATAATTGTATTCTACGGTCATTAAATTTTTGCCTAGATTAAAGATCACTACCCAATAACAAATAATATTAACATAATCTTTAACCAAGTAGTTGAGACTGAATAATTTAGCAGTGACTTATGTAACGTTTATTATGAACAACACGAAATCAAATAGCATAATGAGTGGAATTTCCCTTGATATATTAATGTTAAACGTGGCAATTTGAACAGATATACATTTATGCCAAGTCCTGTAATGACTGACTGATTCGATGACACAGAAAATAGATTTCCTAACTATTTGTTTCATATTTACTGTGACTTAGATAACCCATTTATTTTAATTTGTTAATCTGTGAACAAATAAATGAACAAATATTCAAACGGTTTTAATTTATTCACTCTGATATTCATCACCACTGTAAGATGTTTCTTGATATATTTGACAATAAAACCAAGTGAAAAACACTAAGAAATGTTCTCTATATCAACATGTAGAAAAAAATTCCTACTCATTTCTAAATTTTACTTCTACTCTTTTTATTCTTTTCCGAGACCACTGTTATTCAGCAATTTTGTCAGCATTAACACTGAGAGGTGGATAATCAACTAAGTGTTTTCTAAATTCTCTGTAAGAGAAGAGGATACTATGCTTGAAAGGAATTAATCTACTTTTTTACTAACCCAAGCTGGTATACAACAAAAAACTGTATCTCAA